AGGCAGCAGCTTAACCCCACGATGAGGTGGACGTCCATCTGGCGCTGACACTACACCTGCTGCTCCCAGTCCCCGTGTGCTTCATCCCCTTTCAGGTCAAGAATCCCCAGGTGCTCCCACCCTGGAATCGGGGCTTTATTGCAGCCTGGCAGATGAGGGAGTCTGTCCATCTTTGAACCTTCCTCAGGCCTGTTCTCACCCCCATTCTCAGTCCTGCCGCCTCCTGCCTACCAGCCACGCACTAGCTGAAGTCCCTCTGGGCCTGAGACCTGTGTGGCCCAGCTGCCCCACCCCTGTGCCTCCCCGACAGCTGAGAAAACATTTCATTCTTTGTGTTTTGGAGATTTATTATAAATGTATTTCAACTATCATTTCATAGGAAACCAATAAGAAAAAAAAGGTAAATGTATATTCATCTGGTTATCTTAAGTCACATAACCACTAATTTGCTTCTCTGCTAAGAAGATATCATTACTGCTATAAAAAATTCTCACTCTTCTCTTATTTTATTCCCCCATCTCTCAGAGTGCACACACACACACACACACACACACACACAGACACACACACTTTCCCTACTGCATTGCTATAAGAACAATATCTTTCTCTCTTTCATATAATTTTTAATTTACATAGGAATCACCAACATGCTTGTTTTAAACATGATGGGTGCTGAACCTCAGACAGTCTGATTCAGCAGCCCCAGGCAGGTCCAGAAATCTGCATTGTAAGTGCTTTCCCAATTCATTTTGATGCTAGAAGTCTTCAGAGTACATTTCGCCAAACACAAGGGGAGAGGGAACCCCCCAAAACCTGGAATTTATTATAAAAAATTGTGTGTTTATTCTTACATTTTAAAACTTCAGTCACCTTCAAAAGACTCTCCATTTAATGCAATACACCTATTGAAATGCTTTTCCCACTGCTCAAAACAGTTTTTGAATTCATCAATTGTAATGCTTTTTAGTGCTTCTACCGTTTTTCTGTTTCACCTCTTTCACACTGGCAAAAGATTTACCTTTGAGGACTCTTTTATCCTAGGAAACAAACAAAAAAGTCACTCAGGGTGAGATTGAGTGAATAGGGAGGGTGGGACACAGGGGTCATGCCATTTTTGATAAAAAAACTGCTGAACACGCAGAACAGTGTGGACAGGTGTGCTCGTAAATCACCCATCATGAAATGGGCAAACATGTTAAATGAATCTTCAAAAAAAATTCACTGAAGCCAAACACAGCTTCTCACAACAACACTAGCTGGTACACTGATGCCGATGGGTTCCTAGAACATTTACCTAGTGGGAGAAACCTCTATGGGGGTGGATGACATTTCTGATGAGAACAAAGTACTTTCTGCAACCATTGGCTATCAGAAATAAAACTGGGAAGTAAAGCAATGCCTCAATCCTGGACCACTGAATATTTTATGTTTTCAAGGAAATAAATTCATTTTGTAAGAGCCCACAGAATTTTACCAAGTCAATTATTAGTGAAAGTAGTTAATGTACTTTTCATTGTATTATTTTGAAATTTTTATGGACTAATTTAAGGAGATGTTTTAACCATTAGAGGAAGAAAATCTTGTATATCAAAGATGTGCTCTTCAATTAAATGGCCCATTTCATTCACCATGGATTTCCAATCAGATTCTGAGTCACAGCCTGACAAGGAAAAATATTGATCTCCGGATAAGCGAAAAATGTTCAGCAGAAATATTTGAGCAAAATAGATGAGTTTTATTCTGTTAAAAAAAACGTATAAAAGTCTTAGGAGTTAACAATTGCAGGGGTGCAGAGAGAGGAGAAAGGAAGGGAGAGACAGAAGACACAGAGAGAGCTGTATCTGTCTCTGTGTATGCAGAAAAAGTGTCAAAACAGACTGTCAGGAACTCTCCAGACTAGGAGGCAAGTGTGGAGGGGAGAAGCCCTGGTTTATTCTATATCAATACAAATGGTATATTTCTTTTATGGTGAAAATGTATTATTCTTGTTAGTGGTGTTATTTATCAACATGCAAAAATAAATACTGCATCATATAGTCTTCTCTTAGGTGCAGCTTGATGAAAGTTAAGCATTGACTTAGCACAATAAGTAACTGTATATACTGTATGAAAAAGATTCAAAAGGGAAAAAATGCTCCATTAGCTGGTAGAGCAATAGCTGGATATAAAACCCCCGGGGTTGAAGTCTTGTGTTCAGGAGAAAGACCCAAATTTAATGCTAGTTAAACCTTCATTTAACAGAAAGGATAAATGAAAATGGTGGTTACCATGGTAACAAAAGGAGCCTGAGGGTGCCAGAGTACTCCACACCGATACACTTGTTGAATCAATTTATCTTGATAATTCACTGTAGGGACTCTTGCTGGACAGCACATTACCATCTCTCAGAAAGACTGGGCCACACTCAACCAAAGCACTCCATAAATTATACTAAGGAATAAACTAACAGAAAATATTAAATCCACACAAGACAGTGCTCATTCTGCTGACCTCCGATGTGCAAACTCATCTACTGTCACTTCACATACTGTCAAGAATGAGTATTGGACACCTGGGGTGAGTTGGCTCCTGTTTGGTCTCCTTGGCTTCCTAGATGCTCAGTCTCCGAGGCACCCATTCTTGGCCTGCAGAGGCTTGTCTGTGGTGGTTTAGGCCTTCACCTTTTCCTTCCATTGCTTTTCCAAAAGGCCAGAAAAAGCGACCAACCCCTCACTCATCTTTCTTTACCCAGCTGGTCCCCCCAAGAGCATCCTTATCCACTCAGATATCCAACCCTCGGTCTTTTTCTAAAATCAGTCGTATTTTTCTAAAATCAGCCTGTATATCTTATTTCCATAGTCACCTTAAGAAGCCAGCATAAGAAACGAAAGCCTTGACTCTGCTACTTAGTAAACTGTGCCATCTTAAGTAATTTAACTTATCTGGGAGCATGAGAATAGATCATTAAATCTTTTTTTAAGCAGTGAAACTCTTCTTTCTAAGTGTAATATTAAATAGAAGCCCAATTTGAAAATGAAAACAGGTTGTTGCAGATTATGTGAGGGTTAGAAATGTGATCCCAAATGCTCAAACTCCCCTTTCAGCCACAGACTTCCTGGAATTCCTGCAACCCCAGCTTTAATTCCAGTGCAATGTTCCATGATCATATCAATTAATTTGACAGTAAGATAAACAAATGGAGATTTTTTTTTTTTTACACAAGGACGTTCAAGCACAAAATAACCCTGATGTCTATAAAATGAAGATGTTTTGGCTCTTGATGAAAGACATAAAAGATAAGAGAAAGTTGTCATTTCTAAAGATAGGAACCTAGATTCAAATTCATACAAAGCATGAGTAAGTTGTCATTTTCATAGACCACAACCTAGATTCATACTTACAGTAACAGCCCTAAGTGACAGCTATCGATTGATTTGAAGGTTGGTTCTCTGATAGCTTAAAGTAGTGTTTTTTAGGATGGAGTTTGTGATATGGACTAGGAAACCCAACTTGCAGTGGCTTGACTAAATATATATAAATATATATATATATATTTTTTTTTTTTTTTTTTTTGCATAAAACCAGCTGTCTGCTAAAATTGGTTGGTGAAGTTAGAAAATCTAGCTCTGAAACAGCAAGTTCACAATTCATCAGAACCCCGGCATTCACTGCTTCGTATGTCTTGGGATGAGCTGTTGTCTTAATGGTTTCAAGGTGGCTCTTGCTTGTAAGACAAGAGCTCGTGTGTGCAGCTGCCCAAAGACTGCCATCGCCTCAAAACTGAGTTTCCATGTGTGAGGAAGCAATCATCAGGCAGGTGTGCCACACACCTCCTGTTTGACGTGCAGATGGCCCCTATAAGGGCCCCTGGGCTTTCTTCTCTAGGTTAAACGTAAAGGACCTTCAGCTTCCCAAACTTCTCCAGTGAGGTCCAGCCAACATGAACCCAGCAGAGCCTTGGAGGGAGGGAGGAAACTATGCTTCTCTTTCCCCTGCTGCTTTTTCAAGAGTCACTGAGCTGATTTGTCTCTCCACTGAAGATCGTTCCTCTTCACTGCTCTCTACCCTATTGCTTTGGGTCTAGAAGTGGGAGGAGCCCCCGGGCATCACAATCGCCCAGTGTTTCCCCATAGCCTATCCATATTATTAAATCCTTCCCTAATTATTCTAGCAACAAAGGACAGAGCAGGCACGTAGCCATCTCTGGTGTGGTGCCGCTTATTGACAGACCAACATTCACTCACATTCCTCATCAATACTTCACAGAATTTTTACCAAGTCACCCACCTAATGCTTTCAGCTCCAGTTCCAGGATTTCAGATGATGGGAAGTGCTCCCCACAAAGACCAGGTGTGGTTCTTCCAACCCACAAACCTATAAGCTTAAAAGACACATTTAACTTCCAGGAAATACATCCCAAGTGTGTTGGTGGAGTAGGAATGGGAAGAACAACACACAACACGTCTCCGAATCCCAAAGAGGAAAATGATGTATGTTGAAGACCCTGGCCCATGGCATGGATCGGACCCTGCTTGAGAAGAAAAGTGAAGTCTCTCTACCCGAATGTGAGAAAAAACTAAGCCCACAGTCCAAGGAGACCCTGTGAGTGTGAAGGAATGTCCCGCAGAATAGCCAGGCTGCCCTGGCCTTGATGAACCACCGAGCAGCTCCAGATGCCAACAACCCCCTGCTTACATGTGTATATGCTGTGCACACCTGTATTGGACATGTCTATTTCAAGCCACCATTGAGTTTCCTGCTACTTGTTACAGACATCATTCAATTTCAGATGTTAAGTTGGCTGTGGCCTGAGCATGATAGACTTATTTGTGGTTTGAAGAGAATATATGTTATCAACATTAAAAATAAAAATACAGAAGCCCAGATTATTTCTCCATTTGCAGAAATGGGAAGAGAAAAGAGGAAAAAGGAATAAAAGAGGTGCTTACAGAGTAGAAGGTCAGGTAACCTGACGTATGATGAATGTAAGCGTAAGGTGCTTGTATCGTGGAATTGCCAATATGACAATGCACAAGCAAAGAAATGGAGAAATAATCACAGTTGGCACTGGTGGGACAGAGGAAAGAGAGAGGGTGAGTGATGCGAGGAGCTAAATCTTTTTTATATCCAGAAACTAGTAGATACTCTATAACAATCTAACCTATTTAATATAGTCTGAATTAGCACTTCTAACCTTTAATATGCACATGAATCGCTTAGGGATCTTATTAAAAGTCAGTTTCCAGCCAGGCACAGCGGTGCACGTCTGTAATTCCAGCACTTTGGGAGCCTGAGGCAGGAGGATTACTTGAGGCCAGGAGTCTGAGACCAGCCTGAGCAACATAGCAAGACCTCGCCTCTACCAAAATACAAGACAAAAAATTAGCCGGGTGTGGCAGGGCATGGCTGTAGTACCAGCACTCAGGAGTCTGATGTGGGAGGATCACCTGAACCCAGGAGGTTGCCGCTGTGGTAAGCCATGGCCATGCAACTGCACTTCAGCGACAGAGTGAGACTCTGACTCAAAAAAAGCCGGTTTCTATTCACTAAGTATGTTTGGAGTGGGGTGGGAGATGGAGAAGCGTCCATGGGGTGTCAAGCTGACCTTGAACCAAACTCTGCAGAGCAAGGTCCCAAAGGACATAGCCAATACCAGGGTAGACACTGAAAGTGTAGGGACAGTCTCAAAAAAACATCCTCTAAGTGAGAGAAATCAGGGTATATATTTGCATGTGTGCATGTCTATGTGGGTGGGTATATGTGTATATGTGTTTGTGTGTGTTTGCATGTGTGTGGTGTGCTTGTGTGTGGTGCATTTGTGGTGTGTGGTGCATGTGTGTGTGTTGTGCATGTGTGTTTATGTGTATGTGTGCGGTGTGTTTGTGTGTGTATGGTGCAAGCGTGTGTGGTACGTATGTAGTGTGCTTGTGCATGGTGTGTGTGGGTGATTGTGTATGTATGGTGCATGTGTGGTGTGTGTGCATGTGTGTGTATGTGTGGTGTGTATGTGGTGTGTGTGCATGTGTGTGGTGTGTTTGTGTGTGGTGTGCTTTTGTGTATGTGGTGCATGTGTGTAGTGCCGATGAGGGTGGTGTGGTGTGTGCATGTGTATGTGGTGTGTGTGGTGTGCGTGTGTGTATGTGTGTGTAGTGTGTATGTGTGTGTAGTGTGTATGTGTGTGTATATGTGTGTGGTGCATATGTATCTATGTGTGGTGTGTGTGGTGTGTGTGTTTGTATGGTGTGCTTGTGTGTTTGTGTGTGTAGCATGTTTATATGTGTGTTTGTGTGTGGTGCATGTGTATGCATGGTGCATGTGTGTGGTATGTGTGAATGTGTGCCGTGTTTGTGCACGTGTGGTGCACGTGTGTGGTGTGTGTGGTGTGTTTGTGTCTATGGTGTGTTTGTGTGGTTTGTGTGTGCGTGTTTGTGTGGTGTTTGTGTGTGAGTGGTGCATGTGTGTATGATGTGTGTGATGAGTGCATTTGTGTGTGTGTGTGGTGTTTTGGTGTTGTGTGCGTGTGGGTGTGTATGGTGTATTTGTGTGTGTGGTGTGTGTGTGTGTGTGTGGTGCATGTGCGTGGTATGTGTGTGTGGTGTGTGTGTATGTGTGTTGTGTGCTTGTGTGTGTGTTGTGTGTGGGTGTGTTTGTGTGTGTGGTGTGTATGTGTGTGGTTCGTGTGTGGTTCGTGTGTGTGTGGTGTACATGTGTGGTGTGTCTATGGGTGTGTTTGTGTGTGGGGGTACATGTGTGTGTAGCGTGTTGGTTTAGATTTTTTTGAGACTCTATTTGATCTGACCAATATACTTCAACATTTTTTGAAAAGAACCTGTCTATACGGAGAGAATGAATACTTATATGTGAAAATGATCTCCCATCCTCAAAGCAGATGTTTTAGAAAGTAATGATGATGATGAGAACAATAATGTATCTTTCTCTAAAAACAAAAGTGAATGACTGGCTCAATTTTTTGGACACTTTTACATATTTTCCCAAAACTCTAGCTCAAGTTTCACTAACGTCTGCTTAGCACTAATGAGTCCTGAAAATGCTGAATCCTAGAGCAGTAAACATATCTTTATCCTAATGATAAACCATTAAAACTTACATATCAATGCTAAAGTAACTATTGTAAAATAAAATAAAAATGTAAATAAATAATCAAAATAATTCAAGATATCCACAAGTTGTTTTGAAACTCCCCTTCTACATAGTGACACAAAGAAATTTTGGTTTACCAGAAATAAAATGAATATTGATTTTCCTTATAAAGTGCTTATTTGGTTTAAATATAAATTAACCACAAGTTCTTAAAACAAATATCCTTAACATGCTTAAGATGCAATTCAGCTTAAATTTTATCTACATTTCTCAAGGATGCACATATGTAATTACAAGCATATCCTCAAGGTCCATTCTTCAAAAATTACTTTGTAAAAAAATTGAGCTAGTCGTTCAGATGGAAATTCTACAGATGTCAAACATTTGGAAGTATCTGGATGATTGATCCCATTTTCATTTTATGCCTGTATGTTTTTCCCTTTTGTAGAGTAGACATTGACATCGTTTATAACAGTTTCTCAAAACTGACTGCATTTCAAAAGATGGAGGACATTATAATTACCAAGCCTCTACCGATGAGATTTATTCTTTCACAAATCTACTAATTATACAGATTCAAATAAAAGTAAACAATGTAACGAGCTCTTTCTCTTCTTGTACATACAAATGTTACAAGAAAAAAGTTGGGCCAATTAAAGCTGTGAATTTGAGTTGATATAAATTTGTTTCCACTCTTTTCTGTGACTCTGTGACTTCCACCTGCTAACAATAAAACTGGAACTTCTTTATATTGTGGTATGTACATGTAATTCAGCATTAGAAATATTCATTAAGGTTTGAGTAAGAACAAATCATAGGTAGTAAGAAGAGTTGTCAACCATTTTAAACAGCTATTGATTAATTTTATTAAACCCAGTTCCTTGATAACTGTTTATTGCTGACGCTTACTCAAAATGCCTTTAAAATTACACCAATCAATTCCAAAAGCTGTTTCAGTCTACATCCAAGCTGGGAACAGTGGCTCACGCCTATAATCCCAGCACTTTGGCTGAAGCGAGAGGATTGCCTGAGCCCGGGGATTTGAGACCAGTCTGGGCAACTTGGCAAGGCCTCATCTCTACAATAAATCAAAAAATAAATCGGGCACAGTGGCACGCGTCTGTAGTTCCAGCTACTCGGAAGGCTGAGGTGGAAGGATAGCGTTAAGCCAGCAAGCGGGTCAAGGCTGCGGTGGCTGTGAGGTGCCACTACAATCCAGCCTGGGCTACAGAGTGAGACTCCAACTCAAAAAAAGTCTGGTTACATCCTTATTAACATCATGGTTGTTGCTAACACTGAGTAAGGGCCCAATCTAAAAAAAGTCAGTTATCAAAGATTCTGAATAGTGCATGCTGCATTTACTTTCTGCTATATATGTATAGTTATTTTATAATGTAAGTGCATTATAGAATCAATTATAAAATGTGTAAGACAAATAAAATAAATTTTAATCTTAGTAAAGTTACAGAAATGTAAAGATATAGGTTTTAAAATAAAGTATTCCTTTTAAAGTTGAAATCTCTTAAATTTAAATGTTCCCACTCTGGAGAAAGCAATAATCATCCATTGCCATTTGCCAAAACCCTACTTATGCAAGACATTGTTCAAACTTTTAATGTAACAGTATTAGAATTGATCATTATTAATTCCTTTCCAATGTGTGCTTTTAAAATATGAAGTAATAATCATACATAAAATAAAAACAATATACAGGCATACCTCATAGACATTACAGGTTTAAATCCAGGCCACCACAACAAAGCTAATGTCTCAATAAAGTCAGCCACATGAATTTTTTGTGTCCCGGTGTCTATAAAAGTTATATTTATGCTATAATGTAGTCTGTTAAAGTGTGCAGTGGTATTATGTAAAAAAAGTACGCACCTTAATTTAAAAACTTTTTGCTAAAAAATCCTAACATTCCTTCACAGAGTCATAATCTTTTTGCTGGCGGAAAGTTATGGCTGCTGAGTGATCAGGGTGATAGTGGCTGAAAGTTGAAATTTGGGATGGTTGTAGCAATTTTTGAATATAAGACAACAAAGAAGTTTGCTGCATTGATTGACTCTTTTGCAAAAAAATTTCTTTGTAGCAATGCTGTTTGATAGCATTTTGACCACAGTGGAACTTATTTCAAAATTAACCAGTCCTCTCAATACACTGCCACTGCTTTAACATCTAAATTTATGGAATCATCTAAATTATTGGCTGTTATTTCAACAACGTTCACAGCATCTTCACCAGGAGCAGAGTCTGTACTAAAAAACCACTTTCTTTGATCATCTTTAAGAAGCTGCCAGTGTTCCCTCAACTGCCTCCTTTTTGCAGAGAATGACACCCACTGGAACTGATTTAAGGACGCTGCCTCCACGATTTGTGCTGAAAATCCAAGGTATCACTGCACATTGGAGACTGGGATGTTAAGAGTCCTTCTTGAACTCTGAGCTGAAGCCTTTACAAATAGGGAATTTGGCAGGGAAGACGCCTGGGTTTTAAATTCAGAATGTTATTTATATACTGTTAAAATTTGAGGTACTGTAGTTAATATAAAAGTTGAATATTTAGATATATTTCAGAACTAGGAGCTTCTTTGTGACCATTAACATAGCAGATTAAATAATAAATACAATGAAAATGATTGTCAGTAAATTATCATGTTGAATTTTTTGTTTATTTTGTAATGTTTCTGTATTTATCTGCACTTCGTGTATGTGTGTATATATATATACACACACACACACATATATGTCACCATGTAAATAACCTCATGTTATTCCTAATCTAAATTGCCACAATATCATTAATGTATGTTTACACTGTGTCTTAAATTACTTTAAAAATAAACTTCATTAGTACGTTAAAAAAAAAAAGAAGCAACTTCTCATCTGTTAAAAATTTTTTCATGAGATTACAGCAATTTAGTTATATCTTCAGGCTCCGATTCTAATTCTAGTTATCTTCTTATTTCAATTACATCTGAAGTTACTTCCTCCATGGAAGTCTTGAGCTCCTCAAAGTAATTCAGGAAGGTTGGAATCAATTTCTTTTCTGTTAATGTTGATATTTTGCCCTTCTCCCATGAATCATGTTCTTAATGGCATCTAAAATGGTGAATCCTTTCCAGAAAGTTTTCAATTTACTTTGTCCAGATCCACCAGAGGAATCACTATCTATGGCAGATGTAACCTTTTTAAATGTATTTCTTAAATGATAAGACTCACAGGTCAAAATTACTCCTTGATCTATGGGCCACAAAATGTGCAGTACTATTTGGAAAGGAATCTTTTCTTCTGAGCAGTCAGACTCAACAGTGGCCTTAAAAGTAGTCTAGTAAATCATGCTGTAAACAGATGTGCTATCATCAAGGCTTTGCTGTTCCCTTTCTAGAGCACAAGCAGATCAGATGTAGCGTAATTCTTATGGGCCCTACAATGTTCAGAATGGTCAGTAAGAATGGGCTTCAACTTAAAGTCACTAGCTGCATTAGTCGCTAACAAGAGAGTCAGCCTGTCCTTTAGAGCTTTGAAGTCAGGCATGGACTTCTCCTCTTGAGTTATAAAAGTCCTAGAAGGCATCTTCTTCCATTAGAAAGCTGTTTTATCTACACTATCAATCTGTCGTTTAGTGTAACCACCTTCATCAATGATTTCAGCTAGAACTTCTGGAGAACGTGGCTATAGCTTCTCCACCAGCTTTGCAGCTTCACTTTGTACGTTTATGTTACGGATACAGTTTCTTTTCTTAAGTCTTGTAAACAGCTTTTCTGCTAGCTTTCAACTTTTCTCCAGAAACTTTCTCACCTCTCTTAGACTTCATGAAATTGAAGAGAGTTAGGGTCTTTCTCTGGTTTGGGTTTCAGCTTAAGGAAATGTTGTGGCTGGTTTAATCTTCTACTCAAATCACTCAAACTTTCTTCTTATCAGCAATAAGACTGTTCTGCTTTCTCATTATTCATGTGTTTGCTGGAAAAGCACTTTAAAAAATTTTGAGTAGCACTCAAAAATTTTTCCTTTGAGTTGGGTATGGTGGCTCACACCTATAATCTCAGTACTTTGGGAGGCTGAGGCAGGAGGATCTTGTGAGCTCAGGAGTTGAGACCAGCCTGGACAACATAGGGAGACCCTGTCTCTAAAAAAAATTTAAAAATAATGATTTTTAAAAAAGTTTTTCCTTTGCATTTACAACTTAGCTAACTGTTTGGTGTAAGAGGGCCTAGCTTTTGGCTTATCTTGGGTTTTAACATGCTTTCCTCACTAAGCTTAATTGTCTAACTTTTGACTTAAAGTGAGAGATATGAGATTCTTCCTTTCACTCAAAAACTCAGAGGTCATTGTAGCATTATTAATTGGACTAATTTCAATATTTTTGCCTCAGTGAATAGGGAAGCCCAAGGACAGGGAGATAAAGGGGGGAATGACTAGTCGGTAGAGCAGTGTAAATGACAATTGTCAATTAAGTTCACATCTTATATGGTTGCAGCCCTTGGCACCCCAAAACAATTACAATTGTGTGCAGGGTGGCTGCAGTCAGTAACTGACTGTATAATTCCATACAGCTAGAAGAGATGATTTTGAATGTTTTCAACACAAAGAAGTGATAAATGTTTGAGATGATGGAAATGTCTGATTTGATCATTATACATATATCAAAATATCACTCTGTATTCCATAAATACATACAATATTACTTGTCAATTAAGAAAATTCATAGTGGTGACTCATGCCTGTAATCCCAGTACTTTGGGAGGCTGAGATGGGAGGACTGCTTTAGCCCAGGAGTTCAAGATCAGCCTAGGCAACATAGCAAGACCTTGTCTCTACAGAAAATCCAAAATTTAGTTGGGTGTGGAGGCACGAGCCTGTAGTCCCAGCTACTCAGGAGGCTGAGAAAGGAGGATCACCTGAGTCCAGGAGATCCAGGCTGTGGTGAGCTGTGATCATGCCACTACATTCAAGCCTGAGCAACAGAGTAAGACTATTACTAAACAAAAGAAAAAAGTTCATTGAGGCAATAAGTAGAATGGCATTGCCAGAGGATTAGGGAAGGGAGAAATGATGAATTAGTATTTAATTGGTCCTGAGTTTCTGTTTAGGGTGATGAAAACGTTCTGAAATTGGATGGTGGTGATGGTTATACAACACTGTGAATTTACTTCATGTCAGAGTTGTACATTTAGTTAAATAGTTAAGATGGTAAATTTTATGATATGTATATAACATATACAACTAAAGATAATTTAATTATATACAATTATATTTGATATAATTATATTAAATTTAATTAATATGTAATATAGTTAATTGTTACCACAATTTAAGATAAAAGAGGACATGCATTCGTTTTGAGGAGGGAGAATGTCTTTTCCTTCACTCTGAAGCTAACACACCTTGCTGCTTTCTCTAGAATTTTGTGCTGGATTACAGCACATAAGGACAAAGATAAAATCCCAGAGACATGCTCAAGCATGTCTTACTGTTCTGAGGACAAATTAAAGAAAATATTTTATAGAATGAAAAGTAAACTTAAAGAACTCATTGCCAGAAGAAGAGGCAGAGACATTAAAAGGTCCAGGAATATCTGTGAGGAATTATTCATGCACATATTAACAACAACCTGAGAGATGACAGAGCAAATTCAGATTATTTGGAGCTGCCTTGAGGTTCCTATCAAAGCGAACAAGCAGTACGTCTTGCTGCAACTGCCACCCAGGGACTTTCTGACAACAAGAATGCTGAGCTCTGTATACCCTGTATATCCTCCCCATCGCACGAAGCCCTGAGTCTTGCACACGTCCAAGCCTACACTGTGCCAGGCACCCGCCCGTGCATGGTGAGGAGAGCACACCTGGTCTTCAGCATGGGGTCACCTCTGAGAGGTACTCCTGTCCTCAGGTACAGCCGCAAAAAAGGTCTGGCTGAACAACTGTCATCCTCAGTCCCCAGGCAAAGTAGAGTAAGGTATTCTGCTTGTATTAAAAGCTTCTTTTGTATTCTATTGGTGTTTATAAATTGTCTATTTCTTTTTCCATGTAGTCTACAGTTACAACTTAAATAAGCCGAGTAATGGGAACTCAGCTCACTGCAGTATGTATGCTTACCCCACCCAGAACTATGCTCAGCATGTGGTGGGCATGTGACATCTGCTGAATGAATGCATGACTTCCATGCAGACTGTAAGTAGTTCTGAGCTCAAGTTAATGTTTTTTTCGACTGTACTTTTAAATGCTCTTATAAAAAGATACATCAATAGGAATGCTAATCTTAGGATGAAACAACTTTTAGAAAGATAGTCAAGACTTTCTTTACTCTCCAGCCTCATCTCCATGCCCCAGTGTTGAGATTTCTCCTTTTGCCACCTATATGACTGCAGAAGAACTCTTAGGTTTCAGCTGGAGGGCTAAACACGGACCTTTTTCCCCTCTGTCTTGGAAAATTCCTAAAGGGCCTGGGGATTCTCATCAGATTAGTTTTTTACTTATTCATTTTATTTTTTTATTGGCCCAATATAATGTGGCTCATTTCCCAACCTGACTCTGGCATAACATCACACAGATACAGGAGGAAATAAAAAATGGTTTATGACTCCACAGAGCCATCTCTTGGGGAAATTTGCATCTGTGTAGACTCTCCCTCCCAGGGATCCACAAAGGAGCCAGATATTGGCTGTCTTGTGTCAGGGCTGCCACCTATGAGGCTTCATCTACATATCAAGAAATCTGACTTCCTCATAATTCCTCAAGCTGTCCCAATGTAACATTTCTTTTACTGATTTCAACATTTCTTAGAGCAAATCTGAGTCCACCTCTGACCTGCAATCCCCCACTCCCTGCTGTTTGCAGATGACCTGCCTTCTTGAGGCAAACCAACGTAAATCTCCCATGTATTAATTATGGATTCTGTAGCCTCTGCCTTCCTAAGATGTATACAACTAAACTGCAATTCAATCACCTCAGGCACACGTTCTCAGGACCTCTTGAGACAGTACCTAGAGCCTAAGTAATTCACATTTGGCTCAGTATAAGACCTCTTATGTATTTTATGGAGTTTTGCATCTTTCATTAACAAGTTCAAACATCAGCTCTTCAGAGAGGACTTCTCCAATCATCCTATCAAATGAAGGTCCCCTGCACCCGCATCATCTCATTTTTATCTCAGCATTTTTTTTGTTCCTCGTTTTTCCTTCTTTCCTCCTTGCACTTTTTATAACTTCCTATTATTTTACTTAGTTATTTCCTTGCTGTTGCTTACCTTCTGGAACAAGACATTCATGAAGGTGTGGACTGTTATGTGTGCAGCAGCTGTAGCCCTTGACACACTGAACACTGGGCAGCTCTGCTAAGTGATGACATTGGCTGAACAAAGGAGAGAGGGAGGGAGGGAAGAAAGGTGGGAG